CAACTTCAAGTTTTTGAAGCAGTTTAACACTGTATTACAGTTGGCGTTTAGAAATGTAGCTTACTTTCTAAGATAAGTAAGTAGTTTTTCAGCCCCCCCATCCCCCGTCAGCCCAAGCTTACCGTCTTGAGACGTTAGTGTAAGCTGCTTCAGGAAAGCCTTCCCCTGACCCCAGCACACACCTGCTTTCTCTGACTCACAGGCATCATCTGTGCGTGGATTGCTTTTCTAGTCCCTGACCAGCTGGTAACCTCTTCAAGATAAGGGCCCCATCTTTCCCCAGGGCCTGCCTAACTCCAGGTCTTGTGCAGAATAGAAACCCAGTAAATTCACAAGTGAATAGATAGCAAGGAGTCAGAAACCCATTTTTAATCTGCTAAAGGACATCCTTAACTTAAATACCTTCTCCCTCTATAAATTGTTTAAAATTCCACTAAACACAGTGGAACCACTTAAAAAGAAGGTCTTTGCTCTCAAGGCTTTTCCACATAGAGATGATCTCTTTGTTAATAAGAATTCTTTACATAGCCAAGAACTAGTACTCTACTTTCAAGATGACATTTGGGTCATATGATGAACTAATAGTTGATCTTAAGCAGTTTAACAGAGGCTTTTTGCAAATGATGTTAAACCTGATAGAGTGACTTTAGGAAAACATCATAGCCTGTGGCAATACGTGGGGGCAGAAAAGTTCTGGAGTATACTCCAAGTCACCCCATTCAGTTGACCAGCTTTATCTTACACACTGGGTGATCTGCATCTGTAAAACCTTCTCATTAGAAAAAGAATATTAAGCTGAAGTCAAGCAAGTTGCCCAAAGTCAGCTAGTGCATAATAATCAGGACCAAAACTGCTTTTTCACCCCTCCCCGATCCTATAGTTTTCATATTATTCCCCAAAACCTAGGGTTCTCCAGTGTTGCCTAAGGAGCCACCATCTGGAAGGATGAAGAAACCTGGCTCCGACCTCTAGTTCAACTGGACCAGTCAGTTCTACCTGGAGTTACCATCAGATACCTGGCATGGGGGAATTAGTCTGCCCCAGTAAAGCAGGTTTCCTGTTTGCATTTACTTTCCCTGCCTTTGTCACATGATGGGAAGCGCAGCCCAACCTCTGGCCACTTTACCCAGGGCAGGTGCCATCTTACCTTTTTCAGCCGCATTCCCTTCTTCCTGCTTTTTCATCTCCTCTTCAATTTTCTTCATCTTCTCATCGTACTCATCAGCTAGCGATTTCCATTCCACTCTGTTATTCTGGAGACCACTCAGCATAGGTGTGATTTCTTTGTGAAACCGTGAGAACTCCTAGAGAAATGGTATATCAAAAACTACTTAAATTACGTAGTTGATTGTCAGGTTTTTTTCTTAGGCCAAGAAAGAGCCATAAAGAATTGCTAGGATGCTCAGGGGGGCAGGGGTGAGCTTAGCTCAGGGACTTTGAGGCTGGCAAAGGCTTCCATTCCACCACTGAATGAGATGAGGGTAAACTTAGACAGCACCCTAATGGTTTTCCATTTGGATGACTTATTTTGGTTACAATTAGAAGTTTGGTTACAATTAGCAGTTGGTGTAATGGCTACACTGTGGGACTCCCATGTAGTTGACCGTGGTTCGAGTCCTGGACCGGGTGACTTAAACTCACACCGGGTGCGTGTGCGTGCGTGCCCAAGATCCCAAGAGGAGAATGGAGGGGAAGGGATTGCGGCATGGCCATCCCCCCGGGGGTTGATTTCTCGCTTTCTGTCCCTCTCTGTCTCTCTGTCTTTCTGGCAAGCGCACACGCCCGATAGCAGAAACCTCTCCAAAAGAAAGAAAAAATTCTCACCCAAGTGATTATGTCTTTCATTCAAATGATTCATTGACTTACCTTATATACAAAAGTACAAACAAAATCAATAAATCCAACTTGAAGTTTAGGTAGTTCATCTCTTTTATTTCTGTCCATCATAGGCTAGAAAGAGAAAGAAATCTTGTAAAGATCATTTTCTAAGATTTAGTGAGCAAAAGAGACTGTACCAGTAATTTTCAACAAGCAATGCATCTGCATGTCAGGTCTTTACAATCGGCTGTTGCTGCAGCACTGTTCTCTCCAGGTCTCCTTGTTCCCAAAATTCATTCGCAACCAGAAGTGCTACCTGCAAATGAGAAAGGATCGGTTCACTGAGTCCACCTTATCGCAGCTAACTCAGGTTTTATTACTGAGCGCAACAATTCAGGATAGAGAAGCAGTCGGTGCTTGGGCTGTGGTCAGCCCAGATACTCTTAAGTTTTTAAAGGATGCCATTTACAGATTATATTGAAATGGGGGGGGGGAGAAACATTTTCCTCTTATTTCTAGACTTATTTTGGAAGTCCTGTCTCCTATATGTAAGTTGCTGCTATTTCTCAACAGTAAAAAAGGGAAAATAGGAAGGTGTTTAATTCCGTTAGACATTGAGCTTCATGCCCTAACCCTGCCCAGGTCCTTCATTCTGCTGCTCTGTTAGCGTCTAGCTTACACCTGTGTGCACTCGTGTGCACACACAATACGCGCTCACCTAGGTTGGTGCAGAGCTTTACCTGATTACAACATGAGTATAATCAAGGGTTAATTATGCCATTAAAAAACTCACAATATTGGCAGTTGGCGTAATGGCTATGTGGCTGAACTTCCATGTAGTCGACTGTGGTTTGAGTCCCAGACCCAGTGGCTTAAACATGCACACATGACCAAGATCCCGAGAGGAGCATGGAGGAGTAGGG